ATGCTGCCGGGGCTGCGGGTGCTGCCGGTGCTGTGGGGCTGCGGGCTGCGGGGCTGCCAGTGCCGCTGATCTCTGAACGGTTCGCGAGAGCCCTGAAGACCCGCCAGCCCCGGGCTCCGGGCGGCGCTGCTGCTCCACACGACGCTCGCGGGGCCTCCGTTCTCTGAATTTCTCCAGTAACCTCTGAAAGGGAGAGTTGAGAAAGCCGCCTTGATTTGGTCAGATGTAGAGGTTTAAGATTTTTTAGTTATTTTGCTTTCATTGTTTCCTTAAGCCAGTAAGCTTCTTCAGCAGATAAACATTCGCAGAAGCTCCGAGATGAACTAACTTCTGTAACAGACACTCATTTCTGGGGCCAAACAGACCTTGCTTTCTTCCAACTGTGCAACCGAAAGCCCCTGCCACTGCAGACCCGTGTCCCGGCCTCTCCAGTCGGTTCCTCAGCTGCACATAGGGGAGAACACGGTGCACACGACGGGGGACTGGCTGGCACGGAACGGGAATTCAACAAATAATAATAATACCTTCTCCTTTCCTGTAGAGCCTTCAGAAAATGTTAAAATGACACTTTTATGTTTTTTGGTCAAAACCAATAATCAATATAAAAATATCATTCTGGGGTGGCCCATGCTGTCTTACCGTTTGCAAAGAGCATCTGCCCGGCTGAGCCACATTTGGGCCATGCTTGAGTATTTGGGGCCACGTTCTTTTGTGTCCCCTAGACCCAGCCAAAAGCAAAGGCCATTTTGCTCTTCCCTACTGTCCCTGTACAATTATAGCCCAGTTCTCTGCTTTGCCACCCAAGACCTATTCCTCAGGGCAATGCATCGACCAAGTCTGTTTCCGGGTACAGGTCGTCGTCGTCGTTGTTTCCGTGGGCACAGGCTTCTAACGCTAGGAAAGACCGCCCGCTTTTTCCTTCCTCATTCACTCCCCCGATCTGCCTCCGAGGCACCATGGAGTTGGAATCTCCTAAAATTCGGGTGGAGCTTGGTCTTCCGCCCAGAGTTGGAAAATAACATACGGAAAGCCGAGATTTAAAGATCACTCTGTCAGCGAGGACTCGCTGCAGTGTCGCCCGATGCCTGTGGCCCCCTTAGGGGACGTGCCAGCTGCCCCAGAAGCTCCCCTGGGGCGGTGGGACCAGTTTCGGGCACCCGAGGACTGCGCGTGGGCCAGGTCGGCGGGGCGCTAAGAGGAAGGGAGAGGGCTGCCAGCAGAGCGCACGCCGCCTCTCGGTGCTGGGCGACAGTGACGCTTGGCGTCCCTGTGTAACGTGCTCGGTTCGGCTTCCATTTCAGCGATCGTGCGACGGACGACAGCAGTCCAGAGCCCACCGGTGGGGGTCTCACGGCCTGTCCCTGGAGCTCCCGTGCGTCACTCCGGATACACCGAAGAGCGGAGCTACAGCGCTCCACGGGGCATTTTCAAAACACAAGTGGAAAAAGCAAAAACTGTTTGCGAAGAAAACTGTTTCCTCAAGGAATGTAAGTTTTCCAGTAGTCATTTGGGAAACACGCTCCATTTGGTGCTTTTCTCCCCCTAGGAGCTAGAAAAAATGAATTAGTGTTAACATTGCGTCTGGTAGTAGACAAAGAGCAGAAACTGGTTTGTTTTCATTTCCTACTAAATATCATATGAGTAGTTAATGCTGACTTGCTTTTTATGTTTACAAAATACATTACTTTTTAAAAAGAAAACAGCCAGAAAATGTTTAAACACCCTTAGATTCTCCTATTATGATCGATAATTTAACTTTGCCTCTTATACTGAAAGAGTATTAAACGGGAGTAGTATCTGATCAGTATTTGAGCAACCATAGTATTCTATGGCTCTGCCAAATTAAATAAAACAAATTTATAAACACAGTGTTCCCAAATCGAATGTAATTTCCTTACCTAAAATATAGAATACACCCATAAATGCATGAGTGCTCGTTGCGTTGATGCAATGTTTTGTACCATAAAAGATCCTCATGGAAGAGATGAGAGGGTTAGCAGAGGTTGGGGTCCTGCCCCATTTTCTTCAGGCAGAGGTGGTTTCAATAGAATATTGATGGAGAAAAGCAGAGGTCTAACGGACCAGAAAACTGCAAGCCCTGAAAAGAGGTAAGAGAGCTCTGGAACTGTGTCGCTTGGAGTAAAGAAATCAAGACACAAAAAGCAGATGGGAGAGAACTAGTGGACTTTGAATTGGGGACAGCCAGACACGCACAGGTGCAGACCACTATCCAGGCAGTGTAAGCCAAAGAGACTTCCCCTGAGGCATTTGGGTTACTGACGCCAGTTAACAGAGGGTCTCATGAAGCTTCAGTGCAGTGAATTTTGTTTCTTCTCATCATCACTTAATGTATTCTACAAGCAACGCCTAGTGGGAACAACAAGGCATAGCAATGCAATATGATCCTCAAATCCTACTGGGCACTGAGAAGGGCAGAGTCAAGAAGGCAATAACTCATGTCAACTTCTATTGTAATCTGGGTTGCAGTGGGGGTGATGTGTCCGGCCTCTTGCTTGTGTTGTTGTTATCCACTGCTACCCAAGAGAGGAGTGACCCAGGGACGTCATCATCCAGAGTGTGGCTGTGGGCAGCTGCTAGCCTCTCTGGGATGGTTTTCTCAACTGTCAAACAGGGATAGTACCAGTGCCCACATCACAGAGCTGTGAGGATTCAATGAGTTAGTACACGCAGAGTGCTTAGCACAAGTCTCACGCCACCTTCAACAAAGAATGGGGCTACATACCACCTGTAGTCCCCACCACCAAATGAATTTAGCAGCAAATGAATTCACAGTAACAATGGTTGACTGATGGCCTGTTGAAGGTGGGCCCTACTATTCTAATTCAGCACCCTCCACAGATGTACAGGACTGGCAGCTGCAGATCGGCAATGCATGTCTACTGAGCTGGCTTCAAAACTGCCTCTTTCTAGGAAGTATCAGAATTGCTTTCAGCATTTCTCCCCAGACAGTCTCCATAGGTGGTTCATGTTGGACACAGGCCTTGGGCCCTGTATTAATCAAAATTCTCCAGAGAAACAGAACCAACAGAGAAAAGCGTGTGTGTGTGTGTGTGTGTGTGTGTGTGTGTGTGTGTGTGTGTGTGCAGAGAGAGAGAGAGAGAGAGAGACTTATTATAAGGAATTGGCTCACATAATTATGGAGGCTGAGAAGTCCCAAGACCTATACCAGCAAGGTAGAGTCTGAGAGCTGGCAGACTTGAGGCCAAGGATCAGCCAGTGTTTCAATTCTAGTCTGAAGGCAGGAAAAGATCAATGTTTCAGTTCAGGCAGGTGGGAAGAGCTCCCCTTACTCCTCAGGGAGGGTCAGCTATGGTGTTCTATGGGGCTTTCAATGAATGGGAGGGGGCCCACCCACACTAGGGAAGGCAACCTGCTTTTCTCAGTCTACTGATTCAGATGTTAATCTCATCTAAAAACACCTTCACAGACACACCTATAATAATATTTAACCAAATATCTGGGCACCCTGAGGCCCAGTCAAAGTGATACATCAAAATTTAACCTCACAGGCCCCATCCTCTCCCTGCAGGGCTTCCCCAGCATTTGTGGACACCTGAGGAAATGCTGCAGATGCAGACTTCCTAGCACCTGATCAGGGGGACAAAGTGACCGGTCATCCTGGTTTTCCCAGTAGTGAGGGGCATTCCTGGTATTCAGACTTTCAGTTTTGAAAACCTGCACATGTCTCAGCCAAACAAAGATAGCTTGGCCATGCTAGGCAGAACCCCGTCAGCAGCAGCAGGGCCGATGCATTCCCTCCCTAGTCATCTAGCTACTAACTCATGAACGTCCCCCTTAATACTTGACCTCTGACCCCAGTCCTTCATAAGGGAATTAGTTCCTTTCCAGGAAAGCCTGAGTGTAAGGCAGTGACGAGTTCCCTTGGGCTTTGGATCAAAAGCTGTGCTCTTGGATTTGCACTTCCCGGCTGCCCCACAGCATGAGGGCCGACTTCTCCATGCTCAAGAGGAGGGAAATTAGTGCCACCTCTGGAGTGGAAAAGAAGCTAAAGGATTTGTGGCCATATCTTTAGAACCACCACAATGGCAAAGGCAGATAGGACACATATCATAAAATTGCCTGTGCCCAGCCAGTAACACCACCGTCTGTAAACTGAATCAGTAAAGCTTCCACACACTCTCAGCAGAACAGATTTCTCAAAGTCATTCAATCATAATCTAACTGGCCTGCTCTGCTTGAGGGAAAACTGGACGCTTTCACTGCCACAATTCAACACCAACCTAGAGACACCTCGAAAAATATTAGAAGTCTGCAGAAATACCATTCCTGGGAGTTCCACCCTTGAAACAGAAGTAATTATATGTATTCCAGGTAGGTTGACAGCTTTGCCATTATCTCAGAAGCTACAGGGGAAGGCAGTGACCCAGGAAGATCAGCAATGAAAAAGAAAGGACCTAAACGTCTCTTCAGTCCCCTGAACCCAAGTACCACCTCCGGGTGGAAGAAGGGAGCTCGTGTGCTCTCCTGTTCCCACACGTGCATCTCATGTCCTTTGCGTCTCTCATGCTAGGCACCTCGGTGCTCATGCTACTCTGTCGCACACACAACTGCGTGCACAAAGAGGACGGGAGGCAAGGGGAGAGGGCAAACGGTAATATGCATTATTATCTCTGCACTCAAAATTCTGCTAAAGATGTTTCTCACAAAGTGGTTAAACGAGGGCCTGTAAATTGTCTCATTTAAATTATTGCACCATTATATTTATTTTGTGTCTTATTAAGAATGCAGTTTTCTTAAAGCTAACGTGGCATGTTTTTATTTTGTAGTCTATTTTGCAACTGATATATCTATAAATTCTCTTTTAGGTGGCTGAATGATTTTTACCTCGGATCTCCAGCAAGTACAGCAAAGAAGAAAACATTCTGAAGAATCCGTCAAGTTTTCTGTGGAGTCAAGTCCGAGTGACATCCCTGTCTAGACCTCGAGCGGTAGAGATGAAGTACGCCGTCAGTCCGCACGAGAACATCAGCAATATTGCAGGAAATAATTCAGACTGTCCTCCTGTGGTTTTGCCAGAAGAGATATTTTTCACAATATCCATGGCTGGAGTTTTGGAGAATCTAATCATCCTTTTGGCTGTGATCAGGAATAAGAGTCTCCAGTCACCCATGTACCTTTTCATTTGCAGTTTGGCTGTTTCTGACATGCTGGGCAGCCTGTACAAGATCCTGGAGAACGTCCTGATCATGCTCAGAGACATGGGTTATGTCAAGCCTCGTGGCAGTTTCGAAACCACCGCCGATGACATCATCGACTGCATGTTTGTCCTCTCTCTGCTTGGCTCCATCTTCAGCCTCTCCGCTATCGCTGCTGACCGCTACGTCACCATCTTCCATGCCCTGCAGTACCACAGCATCATGACCTTGCACCGCACCATCCTCATCCTGGCCGTCGTCTGGACGATCTGCACAGGCAGCGGCGTGGCCATGGTGGTCTTCTCCCACCACGTGCCCACAGTGGTTGCCTTTGCATCGCTGTTCCCGCTGATGCTGGTGTTCATCCTGTGCCTCTACATGCACATGTTCCTGCTGGCCCGGTCCCATGCCAGGAAGATCTCAGTCCTCCCCAGAGCCAACATGAAAGGCGCTGTCACGCTGACCATCCTGCTTGGGGTCTTTATCTTCTGTTGGGCTCCCTTTGTCCTTCATGTCCTCTTAATGACCTTCTGCCCAAATAACCCTTACTGTGCTTGCTACATGTCACTCTTCCAGGTGAATGGCATGTTGATCATGTGCAATGCAGTCATTGACCCCTTTATCTATGCCTTCCGGAGCGCAGAGCTCAGAGACACATTCAAAAAGATGATCTCCTGCAACAGGTACCAGTAGAATTATTGATCTGTGACTTTAGGATCCATGGGGATAATACTGCCAAGTAACAGAATAACATAACATTCCAACAAATACTAATGCTCCTGAGTGCTGTTCCTTCCCTAATGGAAATGAGGACAATCCCACTAACTACCGTTTATACTAGCTTGGTTCTGCGTGCAACTTGCGTAGCTTTATAACTAGAGAGATAAGATGATGTACTAAAAAGAAGGATGGAACACAAAGTACACACAGCAGTACAAATCCGAGGGCTTTGAGTGAAGGCAAAAACCTGCTGTCCTGTAGATATCCAGCAAGCCTGTCCCAGGAGGGCTTTCCAGGCTGGAGGCCACTACAGCTGATTTCTGGAAGTTAAAATACCTGGGCAAGTGACTCAGGGCAGAAGCTGTAGGGTCTTTGTAAGCCCCAGGTGCTAATAAATTGCTGCCACTGAATTCACCTATCTGCCAGTGCCATGCGGAGTCCATGCCTCCCCTGCTTCTCCCCTGCCGGCCTGCCTGAGGTGTTGCGAGCCATCTCAAATCTTTCTGGTAGCAGGCAGAATAGAAATTATACATACCAAATAACCAGCTTTGAGTTTCCGATCATAAATGAACCTGCTCTGTTAGTCTTTGCTTACTCAGTAATCCACTGACCTTAAAATCCTTTCTTGGTTAAGCCTCCTTATGCGTTAAGAGAGTAAATTTCAAAGGAAGAAATAAAAATTTAATCAGTTTTGCTCCTATGTGGGAATACATAAGAGCCAGAGGAAAATCATGACCATTTGAATAACCAACCTTTCTGCATTTATCCAAATGCGGAAGTAAAGAAAAGGAGGCCCAATATTTATGTTGTGGAATGAGTGGAGTGTGTGTGCGTTCCCCATGCTTTGGGACAATGGGGAAAAAGAAAACCAAAACAACACTTCAAGCAACAGTGCTATTACTAGAGACCCAAGCCAAAGACCTGATGAAAATAACTACCGCTTTCCACAGATGAGTCGGAAAGGCAGGTCCAATCACTGCAAAATTTCCTCCTACCATCAACTGCAGAAAATATGCCCAATATTAAAAAGCGGCATCCCCAATAGGAATAAAAGAAATATATTTTTGGGCCGGCCCGTGGCTCACTCGGTAGAGTGCGGTGCTGATAACACCAAGGCCACGGGTTCGGATCCCATATAGGGATGGCCAGTTGCTCACTGGGTGAGCGTGGTGCTGACAACACCAAGTCAAGGGTTAAGATCCCCTTACCGGTCATCTTTTAAAAAAAAAAAAGAAATATATTTTGTAAATCCATCCACTTTTAATAGCTAAAGATAAAGCTTGAAGAAAAAGCCCTTGCTAAGCTGGAGAGTAACTTGAGGGGAGAGAAGGCAGAGAGGCCGAGCAGGGGAGCCCAGGCTGCCGGCGCAGGAGCCTGGCTGCTGGGGCTGAGTGAGCAGGACATGTCTTCTGCCCTCAGTGGGTCTGCTGAGAGGGGAAGACAGCCACAAGCAGGGCTGAAGTTAGGTCTGGGAAAGGCAGGAGTTTAAGAAGCAAAGAAGAAAGCTCAGAGTTGAGGGAGAGTCACAGCTTGTTCCCATGCAGCCTGTGGCACAGATTGAGACAAAGCCCACAGTGGGCCCCTTGTCCTTTGTTCTCTAGAAATCCTGATTGGATCCTTCTCCCACCAAATGGACTACATCACTGCAACGACAGCCTGAACTTAGTAATGTACGAGATACTTCATGTAAGTTTACTTATTATAAAATCTAAAGCACAAGCCTACAGATAATTTTTTAAAAGTGTTATTTCTGCCATTGAAAGGACAATGTATAGCACCCGTTTCCATGATTAAATTGAGTAGTCTCAATAAAGTGTAACTTTCTTTGGTGCTGTACTTTCTGTGATATCATAGAGGCAGGTGGTGCAATTTAACCCCCGTCATAAATGGTCCCCAACTGCTCTGCCTAAAGAAGTCCGCCTTTGAGAACAGCTTCGCCATCTCCTGACACCTCCCAAGTTCACACAGGTCACATCTGACTGTTGTCAGAGCAAAATCACCGAGACATTCTCTCCAACTCTCAGTGCATTCCATTCGTTGTGTTTAATCTAAGAAAATCAAGAAGGCTAGTCTAACAGTGTGCAAAACAAAAATACAGGCTGAGTGTTAATCCAGAGACATGTTCAGTTCTATATGTCTTCAGCTGTGTTCCCATCAGAGCAAGGTCTTTAACACTCACCATTACTTAAAAACTGAGGTTTTCCACCTCTAGCTTCACGTACAACTCACGATGAAAGCATCAACTACATGTGTTTGTGTGAGGAAGATCAATAAGGCTCAAACTTTTCCCCTAAAGACTCTTTCAATTCTTTTGTCAAATTATCAAATTTTAAACTGCTTTTCAGGTGCCAAAGTATGTGTTTGGTTTTATTGATGATCAGACAGCTGAGCACATTTGATAGAGGGTGTGTCAGTCAGAACAGCCGACGTGAAGTCCTTTTGGTGCAGGAGCGTGCTCATTGTGAGCCCTCCCACCTAGTCATAGACAGGTACGAGCACGTCCACGGGCTAGGACCCACTGAGAAACAGAGCAAAGCAGTGAAGGAATCCAGAAAAATGGTTGGGGTGTTGTTTCCTGGGCTGCGGGGAGATATCTAGCAGTAATAACAACAGCAGCAATTACAGTTGCTATGATAATAGTACCTGTTATTGCACAGTTGCTACAAGCCAGTATTAGTGCAGGAGCTTTGCATGTGCAAATCTTCACTACAACCCTAAGGGTAGGTACTGTTATTATCCTCGTGTTTTAGATGAATAAACTGAGGTGCAGAGATATTAAGTACCTCTGTGGCTGGCAGACTCTAGGTGGCCTTTGTGATTCCCACCTCCTGCTGTTCACATGTTTGTGTACTTCCTGCCCTTTGAGTGTGGGTGGAACTGTGACTTGCTTCTAACACAAAGAATATGACAAATGTGAGGGGATGTCACTCGCATGATTATTTTACATTGTACAAAACCCCGTCTTGTTAGCAGACTTGTTAGAGAGACTCTGCTTTCTGGCTTGATGAAATAGTGGATATGCTGGGGAAGCCCATGTGACAAGGAATTGTGGGGGTCCCCTAGGACTGCAGTCAGCCTCTAGATGTTACCAGGCTAGGTTCTTTGACTCCAAGTGCAATAGAAATTAACATAGGGTCAATCAGTCCCCTCAGGCAGGGCTTTATAAGAGCTTGTGCCTGGACACAAGAGGGAGGGTCCTTCAGCTGGCTCCCCAAGGGGGAGGTCGGAGAGTATCTTAAAGGGGCTTGAGTGGGAGTGGGGTGACATCTGATCATGCAGAGGTGGGAATTTCTTGGAGCTTGCGCACCTGGAGGTCATGCTTCTTCAGGCATCACGTATCTCATCAGTATGTTAAATCTTCACCCCTGGGCATGATTTCAGTATTATAGTGAGGGGGAAAGATAGTGAAAGGTCAGCACTGGGGTCCGTCTTGGCACAGGCAGTTTCGTCCAGTTCCCACAGCTGGACCTTCTCCTTTGGGTTAATATCTTGCTCCTGCATTCTTGAAAGACACCGTTGAAGAGATACATGGCTTAGCCTCCCCCTTGTCTGGGTATGATTTGGATTCCTGTGGTTGGGAAACTATTTCTCTCAGCCCTTTGTAGTCAGGGGTGAGGGGGCCCCGAGCCCAGTCGCTATTCTCTCTCGTGGGGATTCAGAGCAGCCATAAGTTCATGTGCAAGAAAATGCAGCTCTCAGTCGTGAATGCTGCTGACAACCACATTAGGCCTCATGGCCACTTAACATCAGCACAGCCATGTTAAGAAACTTTCCACCCTCTGCCCCCTCCCCTTTCCTTTCTCTGCTCCAGGAGCTGGTCAGTGAGATTCCTATCCCGGAAGTGGCAAATGTGACCATGATCATCAAAGGAACATCTTGTGGGTTGTGGTAGCAGGCACTCGGGCTGGGCCGGGAGGGATGTTTATACTGATAAATGTATATAGTGGCAACACGAATCAGAAGCATATGCTCCACCTGACCAGATGTTACCGGACCACAAGAGCTGTGTCACCTTGCATACCAGTGATTTCAAAATTGTCCATTAGTCTGCCAGAGCCCTCCTTCAAAGTCTTATAAAATCTCTGCTTTCCTTTGTTCAGGGGAGCTGATCTGACTCAGTGTCCCCTCCACACTGGTGGAATAAAGCTTCTTGGCTGAAACAGCTCCAGTCTTGGGTCTTGTAAGGCCCCATAGAAGACCCCAAAGGAGGCACTCCCTAAAACATGGTGCTTTTCTCTCCCGGATCCTAACAATCTCGCCGGCACCAAGGTGCAGCCTATCAGAAATCATTACCCACCGCCGGCCAATCAACTACTGCCCTGTGTACTAACCACCCTCTCCCAGAACCCGGCTCTATATA